CTTCTCTCTCTCTCTCTCTCTCTCTCTCTCTCTCTCTCTCTCTCTAGATATTTTCTATTTGATTTTCTAAAATAAATCAAATAATATATTTAAGTTAATAAGATAAGATATGTTGCCAAATAAGATATGTTGAGTTTCTTGTAAATGCAAACATAAAATAGTATTATTCTGAAAAATCAGATTATACCAGAAAATCTATTCAAATGTTGTACAAACTTTCCTTGAGAATTCCCGGATTTTCCGGAAGATACTTTTGTTCAAAATTCCAAATAAAATTCTAAGTAAAATAAAAGGATTCTTAAATATAATTTTGAAATAAACTTATTTTATTGTGTTTGTTCTTTTCAATGTTTCCTAATCATGAAGAAAAATCATTTAATATTAATACTTTGGCTCACTTTAAGAAAATTAGATTTTTTTTTAAAAATTGCAATGTATACAATATACATAGATGCATATATCGTACTAATTGTCAACTTAAATGATTGGCAGATTATTAACAGCTTGCTTCTAAAAGCAAAATTATTAAAATTTTTTTTGAAAGATGCAAAATTTAAATTTAGAGATAAAATTGCAAAAAATTCGCTAAATTGGGATAAAATTTCATATTCCTGATTTTTAAAAGTAAAATAAAATTTTCTGAAAATTTCAGACTTCCAAGTTTTTCCAGAAAGTAATCCTATATTGATTTACATTATAATTATATGATAAAAATACTCGATTGAATTTTATCGCGCATTTTTATGATATTTGTCGTATATATCAAATCTGTTCTTTATTGTACCTTTTTTAAATAAAAAAACATCTCATAATTAAATATACAGACAACGCGCTTGTTATATCGATGGCAACGATAATATGCACATGATTGGTGCGACATACATAAATACTTCAGCAATTTCTCGTTCGGGATTAGCATTTTCGTGCTAACCATAATTTGCGCATACGTAAAAGTTTACCTTCCATGTGGTAGTGGGATTATTTTAAGGAAACTAATGCGTTGTGTAAAATGCTGATAATGGCGTTCTGAAACGACGAACAAGTTACACAGAAATTATATAAAGTTAGCATAATAGCACAAAAAAAATATTGTTATATGTTCATATCTTTCATACCTTGTAAAATATAAATAATATAAAGTACAATTTACGAGTTCATGGCAATTCCTTCTGTTTAGCCGTTGCCGTTCTGTTAACCATTAAATAGTACAGTATTCGGTTACCTTTTATACATCTGACGATTAAACAGCACGAAATAAATTATTCGAATCAACATTTAACACATCTTTAACAGAAGTACAAACGCGCTTCGTAGACTCGGGAATGAAGGTAGCTTTAACGCGACACCGCGGGTGTCCGATCGATACAACTACCCCTCGCGTGCGTGCAAAACATCGTAAGAATTGCGGCATTTAATCATCTGCGTGAGGGCTCGCAGGGGGAGAGACGCGGGATATATTTTTCAATATTTTTAGCCGGTAAATCAATTCGCGTCGGCGATGAATCAAAACGAGCTCGCTCGTTCGGTGCGGCGCATTGTCGACATTTGTCTTCCGTAATCTACGTCTATACGGGAAAAAAAAAAAAAACAGCGAAACAAAGCGAATTCGAGAAGAGAAGAGACTCGCTCCTATATTTCCACCGGTCCTCCTCTTTTCTTCGTCGTCGCGCTATTTTCGAATGTACGAGTCAAGCGAGACGAAAAACATGCGAGTAGCTATTAATCTCGTGATGTCATACCTATGATACTAACTCCAATCGGATGTTGTCGACAAACGTATGATGAATTATTCTCGCGGTCTTGTACGGCAAGATCTCGATAGTCACCGCTTGCACACCGTGACCGTCAGACGAGTAAACGAGCAAAATTGCCGATATTAAATTGCAGCCTCGCTAACAAAAAGCGGCTTGTCGTGATCGAGTCTTTGTCGTGCGAATTGCCTACTTCATTTTTAGCAATCAGACGAAAGGTGAATAAACTTTGATTCTCTTGCCGCGACACGCAAGGCATTAAAAGCGAACGCGCGAAGTCCTTGCCAAAAACGAAAGGAGCGATATGATAGAGAAGAATTGTGCACTTACTCATAAATGCGCAAGAAGAAAGAAAAGCTAACATCCCGACTTTTGGCTTAAATGCCGATATGGAGACACACAATGTAGCGTACAATTTAAATTAAAAGCAAGACTCGCAATTAGAACACGTAATTTGGAATTTCTGGCACAGTCATTGTTCTTTCTGTCATCATTATCCATTACTATACCTCGTTCAGTTTGTATTGTGACTCACCATCCCCGCCTCTGACCTGAGTGAAAAAAGAACAGAGAGAACGAGGGAACGGAAGGGCCATGCCTCCCCCCCCCTTCCTTCGTCGTTGAATCTCCTCGCAGCATCGATCCTGCGGTCCCTGAAAGGAGACGGCCATGAACCTCACAAAGAGACACACAGCCGCGTCCTCCGGTGCATCATCCTGCCGTCTTCGACTCGTAATACTCCTTTACAGCTCTATCCCTTTTTCTCACCTTCTCCCGTGATAGCGATCAACGATTTCGAGATAGTCCTTTC